AACAAACCGACTCTCCTGTCTAATAACGATGGTCAGCTTTCAGCCTCTGATTCTGCTATTGAGTTCAATAGGTTCTTCTCTTCCATTGGTTCATCCCTTGCAAATGATATTCCATCTTCCAGTACTGACATTAAGGACTATCTTACAGGTAACTATCCACAGTCTCTGTACCTAAAGCCTATTAACTCCACTGACGTCAATGAGATAATCCTTTCCTTAAAACCAAGTCTGGTGCCCTTGAGGAGATACCAACTTTAATTTACAAAAAAGCCTCCAGATCTTTAGCCCCTGCTATTGCTCTGCTCTTCAACAAGTCACTTGAACTCCAAACCTTTCCAGATATTCTAAAAAAAGCGAGAGTAACGCCTGTCCACAAATGTGGTGACCCCACAGATGTTAACAACTACAGACCTATATCAATCCTGCCAAACTTGTCAAAAAATTTGAAAAACTTATATACAAGCAGCTTTACTCATATCTAGCCAAACTCAATATACTTAGCCCTTGCCAATATGGCTTCAGACCCAAAAAAGCACTAACGATGCACTTATTAGTATGCTTAACTCGATCATACAGCTCTTGATAAAAAGGAGCTCCCTGTTGGGTTATTTGTGGACCTGCGTAAAGCTTTTGATACTGTCAACCCCCCAAAACCTTCTTCTTAAACTACATCATTATGGAGTCAGAGGACACTCCCTACAATACCTCGAGTCCTACCTTACTGACAGGCTCCAATATGTTTCTGTGAATAATACAATTTCTCCCACCCTACCCATCAACATTGGTGTTTCCTCAGGGCAGCATACTTGGCCCTCTCCTCTTTCTCATCTACATTAATGACCTTCCAAATGCCTCCCAACACCTCAAACCAATTCTATTTGCTGACGACACAACCTTCATTTACTCCAGTCCTGACCCTCTTGCTCTAAATGCCACAGTAAATACTGAGCTAAATAAAGTCCATCTTTGGCTAACTGCCAACAAACTCACCCTTAACATTGACAAAACCTTCTATATTCTGTTTGGCAATAAATCCTCTAGTCTTATAAATCTCAAAATAAACAATACCCAAATTTGTAACAAATTAGATGGCAAATTCCTTGGCATTCTCATTGACCACAAGCTGAATTTCCAGGGACACATTCTAAATATATCAAAAAAAGTTTCAAAAACTGTGGGCATTCTTTCTAAGATCAGATATTATGTACCACGCCCTGCTCTGGTGACTCTCTATTACTCCCTTATCTATCCTTATCTCAACTATGGTATTTGTGCTTGGGGTTCTACTACCCAAAATCACTTACGTCCTCTAATTACCCAACACAAGCCGCTATTAGAACAATATCCAACTCTGGCCCCAGACATCACTCGGTACCCCTACTCAAATCTCTTAATATGTTAGATATTAAGTCACTGCACATTCTCTCATGTGTATTATACATATATAAAACGCTAAACTATAATGCCAATCCTGATCTTAAAAGCTTCATAGAAGGTGTTTAACAGAACCCATGAGCACCACACCAGAAATAAATACAGTTTTGATATTCCTAGAGTACGTCTTAATCAAACTAGAAATGCTCTGCAAATCAAGGGGCCCAGAATGTGGAATGACCTTCCCAACCATGTTAAAGACTGTACCTCTCTCAACCAGTTTAAGATAAAAACTAAACACTACCTAATAAATTCCCTGTAATCTACCTCACTCCTCTATTGTCACCCATGTCTGTTATTTTCTTTTTTTTTTCTTTTTTTTTAATCAACACTGTTTGTCAACCTATTGTATTTGTGCTGCTTTTTCAGTCATGTTCCCCTTTTTTTTATCTTTATTTGTATTTGTTCTCAACATCTTTTATTCTTTATGCTCAATTAGTATTAAGTTCTAGATATTAATGTTTTTTCTTGCCCGAAACGCATTGCGTAATAGTGGCTTTAGGCATTGTATGTACTAGCTCTATCTATATATCAATCCATTAATGTAACATCACTTGTATGTATATACCTTACCTGAATAAACATCTGAATCTGAATCTGAATCTGAATCTAAACACTCTATGCAAATAAAGGGACCCAGTTTATGGAACTCACTCCCTACTGAATTGAAAAGCTGTCCAACTTTTACATCATTCAAAATCAATACTAAAAAGTACCTAATTTCATCTTCATAGTTTTTCACTTTTTGCCTTAAAATTGCACTGTATCAATTGCTACCCAATCTCCCAACCTTAATGTTCCCAATTTAAACATCTTTACCATTGTGATCATTGCTGTTTTCTTATATGTGCTGCCAATCTGTTGTATGGTGTTTATAAATCTTGTTTATCTGTATCTTTTGCTACCCAGTCTCCCAATCTTTATGTACCCAATCTGAACATCTTTACCATTGTGATCATTGCTGTCTTATATATGTGCTGTCAATCTGCTGTTTGGTGTCTATTAACCTTGTTTAAATTACTAATCAAGCTGTCAATGTAATTAATCAGAGCTTTATTATAACAATGTGCTTTAATATACCTACTTATCTCTCTCATCTCATTTTTCTCTTGTAATGTATCTATCATTTATCAATTCTGATTGAAATTACCTACTTAAAATTATCTGCTAGATTAAGGACCTGCCCGAAACGCTGTGCGTACTAGTGGCTTTACAAGAATGTAAATACTGTACTATCCAATGTATTCTCACAAACCCAATGTACCTTCTTGTATATATATAAATAAATAAATAAATAAATAAATAAATAAATAAATAAATAAAGGTAGTTTACACCCTGTACAGCAGCTCCCGTTTGTTGTGAAGATGTCACTCGCTCGCTTCCTCGCCGCCTTCCTCCGCCCATTTTCTTTGTCACTGATCTTTGCTGATACAAATGTAATGTTGTATTTTATTTATTTTGCAGTCTTCTAGATGTTGTTTCTGCTCGGCTTAGACTCAGTTACAAGTATCTCTTGGAATTCTCATTATCTGCCGATGTAGACCTGACCAAATGTAAACTGTCAACAAAATTATTCGCACACCCACCGTCACTATATGGTGGAGTGCGAAAAGATACGTGAATTCAGAGACAATTCTATAACCAATGTTCCAACGATGTGTAAATATGTCATTAAAAATTATCTGCTACCAGAAATTTTAGCCAAATATCCCCAGTTTGCTAACTGTAGGTAGTAACTAAGTGATTATAACCTATGCACCGCTTCCCACTGGATTGGGGGGGGGGGGCGGTGTACACCGACTACTGGGGGCGAGTGTGGTGTTGCTAGTTGGTGGCTGAGACTAGTTCGTGCCGGGGCTAGTTGAGAGAAGCAGGTAATTAAAGGGCTTATGGACGCCGCATCCTCTGGCGTCTCCAGCTTATTTCTGCCCCAACTATCATCTGGGGCTAGTTGTAGGGGGCAGCGTTATGTGGGGCTAGTTGTTGGGGGCAGCGGTCCGTCTAATTACCGCAAGCTACCACAAGCTTCACAAAGCTTCCTGGCAATACGTTAGTAATGAATAAATATGATATATTTACTCATTATAATGTTGGTGCTGAATGTACAACACGAAAAAACATAATTTTAATCAGAAAAAGTATCTTTTTATAAAGAAATTAGACGAAAATAATGAACTGGTGATGCCAAATCAAGTAGACGATCCAAGCGTCAGTTAGCTTAGGTTAGGTTAGTTTTGGTTTGGTTAGGTTAGGTCAGCCTAACCTAACATGTCATATTTATTCATTACTAACGTATTGTCAGGAAGCTTTGTGAAGCTTGTATAACTTGCGGTAGCTTGCAGTAATTAGACGGACCCGGGAGGCAGTGTGGTGGGGCTAGTTGTGGAGGTTGAGCTATTGTGGGGGACAAATGCATGGTTAACTGAAATATTAAATACAGTACTGTATTAGTGATGGTGACTGGCCTGCCTTGCTCTAGTCATCTCTAATGTGCTGTTTAACACTGTCAAACACTGAAGGTCTTTTAATGACCATGTTAAGACCACTATTTAGTGCCATAAATGTCTTTGCCACTAAATAGTGCTATATAACTTCTGGGTGTTATTTGAATAATAGGTTTAGGCCTTTGAGGCAGTACAGAAAGTTCTATATACAGTATATAACTGTATGTTTGTAGCCTGCTTACAAATGCTTAAACATTTGTAAGCAGGCTTGGGTACGAAATGCCCCTTGGGGGTACACATCTATGTAGACTAATTATTCGTTCTCATGATTTTGCTTAATCTGCTGTGGCTATGTTCTCCCAAGTAGAATTACTAGCAAGTAATTCTTAAATGCATTATGCGAGCTGTTTGGTGCAATGCACACAGAATGAGGAAGATTCTTATATGTGCACTTCTGTAGTGGAATGTTAATGTGTGCACACACCTGTAGGGTCGGGGCAGCTAGCCAGGTGTCTGGGAATCTAACATGGGCTCGATACACACAATGTTTCTTTTCAGAAAGATGTTTTAGAAAAGATACTTTGAGAGATTTTCAGGGGTCGTTCTTAGTTTTGTGTACATTAGTCAAAAGTGCTCCTGGCTCATGCACCTTCCTTCATGTACATTGTGTGTGGATGTAATGGATCACAATGCAATGCTAATGCTGTGGTAATGAGGCTGTGTTCCTGGTGATGGAAAGTTGAATGATGTAAGTGTTGCAAAAGTCATACCATTGTTGGTCTTAAATTTGTGCTTGGGAGGGCCAGGTATTGTCATCTATCTTAATGTTTTAATTGTACAGGTCCTGTCACCATTAACACCTAGGGATTTCTAAATCTAATTAAAAGAGTTTAGTTTTACAGTTTAATTTTAGTAGGTCAGTGTATGGTTACCACTTTAAAATGCAAGCAATATATTTGCTTTTAACAATTGGTTTCCAGCAGCATAGGGTAATATGTAACCTGTATGCGATGAAATACATTGGCCCCATTGTTTGAATATTGACGATTCAACCTTTTGATAAATTTAGTCTTGTAAATGTACTAAATACATTTGTACTAAATACAATACTTCATGCACTTAAATGTAGTTTCATTACTTAAGATTCTTATCCTAGTCTGTCCTGTAAGACTAAAATTGTGCCATAACTTGTATTAGCCACTTTGTTCAAGTTTTTATTAAATACATACAAGCATGTCAGTGCTACAGAATTATGCCTGCAGTTTATTCCTTATAACTTCTAGTCGACATTGTTGAAACGTACATTTGCTGGTACCAACTGTCTGATTTTTTCACTTGTGTTGATATGCAGGGGTTTGATGCAGACTTGCTAGGTGATATCTGAACCTGTTCTCTCAAATATTACTGTAAGTCACATTTTGATGCTTAAATCCTCCAACACCAAAACTGTTAACTAAAAATCATAGTGGCCTGCAAAATTGATGTAATGTCCAGTTTTTTATTCATGGTCGTTGGTTAGGTTAGGTTTGGGCTATTTAGTACATCAGTTGAGTGACATTGTGAACACTTGAGATGAAGAGCTGGATATCTAGCTCAAAACCACCAGGACAGTGGTTTTAAACTATTAAAAATAACACCAGTTAAGTAGGTTTTAATATTTATTCATTTTTATATATACAAGAAGGTACATTGGGGGTTAAGAGAGTACATAGCAATGAAGATTTTTACATTCTTGTAAAGCCACTAGTACGCATAGCGTTAAGAGCAGGTCCTTAATTTAACAGATAGTTTTAAGTAGATAATTTCCAGCAAAATTGACAAAAAATGTTTACACATGTATTGTAAGAAAATTTAACACAATACACAATAATTAGATTAATACACAATAATAACAAAGATTAGTAGGTATATTAGGGCAAAATAGGATTATCAACTGGTTCATTGAAGCACAATTTGTGGATCATTTCAAGGAATAATGCAATAAAATATGTACTCAATATAACAAACATGATATAGGTGATAGCAGTGATGACAAAGGTAAAGATTGTATGGCTTAGGTACAATATTGGGGGATTGGGTTGCACTAGATACAGTGAGTATAAAGCACTAAATAGGAAACTTTAAAGATGAAATTAGGTACTTTTTGGTTTTATTTTTGAATAAGGCAAAAGTTAAACAGCTTTTCAATTCATTAGTGAGTGAATTCCATAGAAAAAGCCCCTTTATTTGCATAGTGTTTACACAGATTAAGTTTGACTGGGGATATCAGATATATATTTCTGGTACAGTATGGTGATTATGGGGTCTATTACCCCACATGGTGTACTATACCTTATTATGCCCAGAAAGAGTTTTAGAACAGGGTTTGCATTTAAGAACAGGGTTTTGTAAATGGCACAAGAGAATGTGTGGAGTGAGTTTGTTTAGCATGTTTAGGGATTCAAACAGGGGGACCGAGTGTTGTCGTCTGAAAGCAGAGTTTGATATTGTTCTTATAGCAGATTTTTGCTGGGTGGTGATGGGCTTGAGGTAGTTTGCAGTGGTTGAACCCCATGCACAGATACCATATGTAAGATAGGGATAGGTTTTTTGCATAGTATTATGAGAGGAGAGCAGAGTTTGGAACATAATATTTGATTTTAGAGAGTATCCAACTGTTTTTGAGACTTTCTTAGTATTGTATTTCATGTGAGTGCTAAAATTGAGTCTCTTGTCTAAGTATATGCCAAGGAACTTTGCATCAGTTTTATTGCTGATGTTAACATTGTCTAAAGCTGAATTAATTCATTTTTTTTTTATATACAAGTGATGTAACATTCCTGTACAGCCACTAGTACGCGCAGCGTTTTGGGCAGGTCCCTGGAATATGATCCCCACGAAGAATCGTTGTTACAACCAAGTACCCATTTTACTGTTGAGTTAAACAGAGGCTACAGTTAAGGATTTGCGCCCAGTAAATCCTTCCCGGCCAGGATACGAACCCATGACAAAGCGCGTGCGGAACGCCAGGTGAGTGTCTTACCACTACACCACGGAGATTAATTTATAAATTTATTTATTTATATATATACAAGAAGGTACATTGGGGGTTAACAGAGAATATAGAATTTAAGTTGAATTTCCATTCTTGTAAAACCACTTAGCACGCATAGCGTTTCGGGCAAGTCCTTAAACTAACAGATAATTTTTAGATAATTAACAGTAAAATTGACAAAAAATGGTTACAGGTACTTTACAGCTTTACTTTACAAGTACAGATGATTTTAAGTAGAAAAATTATAGTAAATTGAAAAAAAAAAGAAGTTTACAGGTACTTTGCAAAAATTGTTGACACAAAAGCAGATTAGAATAATACACAATAATAACAATACACAATAATGAACAAGTATTACTAGGCATATTAGGAAAACATCTCAGGGTTATACATAGGTTCACTGAAGCACAATATGAGGATCATTACAAGGAATAATGCAGTAGAATATGCACTAAATACAACATGTTATCAGGTGATCTAAGATTACAATGGTAAAGTAATATGTCTTAGGTACAAATATTGGAGGAATGGGTAGCACTAGAAACGGTGCGAAGATAAAGCTCTAGGTAGAAGACTATGAAGCTGAAATTAGGTACTTTTGGTTTTATTTTTGAATAAAGCAAAAGTTGGACAGCTTTTCAATTCATTAGGGAGTGAGTTCCTTAGACTAGGTACCTTTATTTGCAGTGTGTTTACACAGATTCAGTTTGACTGGGCGATATCAAAAGATTTGTGTCTGGTGTGGTGATTATGTGTTCTATTATATCTGTCAAGGAAGAGTTTCAGTACAGGGTTTGCACTTAGAAAAAGGGTTTTATAAATGTAATTGACACGAGAATGTATGGAGTGAATTTATGTTTAGCATGTTTAGGGATTTAAACAGGGGAACTGTGTGTTGTCTGAAAGCAGTTTGTTATTGTCCTGATAGCAGATTTCTGCTGGGTGATGATGGGCTTGAGGTAGTTTGCAGAGGTTGAACCCCATGCACAGATACCATAATTAAGATTGATAAGTGCATAATTTTCTTCACCACCACAGAGAAATTTGGCAAGCGGAATGGATGACACGAGGCCAACAATACCACTTGTAGCAAGGCATTCAAAGGGACATGCTACTCAGTATCTCACTGCCTTTGCAGGTTGGTCATACAAACATGATGTATTATTTTATTAGTTACTGTACTCGGTGATTGGAGCATGATTAGAGCTTCGAGATATGGGTAGCAGCAAGAGAAGTTTCTGGTGAGATTTGATGGAAATGAATGTACTGAACGTGATTTTTATATTCCACAAAATCATTGTTTAATCTTAACTTCTCAATTATTAATATAACAAGTATTCTCCTTACATTTGCACGAAAAGAAAGTATGTTACTTTTCTCCTTACTTAACAATTACAGCATCTTCACATCCTCTAGCAGAAATGAGAAAGAGCAACTCTATTAGGATGAGAATCATCAGAAAGCATTAGGACCTTGGTAAATTTAATAATTTGTACATTTGGTGGCCGGATAGAAAGGATCATTTAGAAAGAGATGCAACTAGTGGACTGCATAAAGAAGTAATGCAGTAGTTCCTACCTGTACAAATGGATGCAAGATGCTACTGTGACAGAAATGAGAAAAATCAAGAATTAGAGCAGTAGAAATAGACAATCTGAGATCTGTGGTGTTTGGGGAATAAAGTAAATGATTAATATCCTGGAAAGATGTGGTGTACAAATTGTGGTAAATGAAAAGCTTAAAAGATAATGCACTGACATGGTTGATTGGGACCCTAATCAAATACTTTAATCCCTGCTAGATATGGATATAGAGATTGGGTGGATATAAGTAAGAGCTGTCTCATATGGGCCAATAGGCCTTCTGCAGTTACCTTCATTTTTATGTTCTTATAGGATCTGCTCTGCATTACTCAATAGGCCTCCAATGTTCTCATGTTCTTAAGTGGTTAGGTTGACATACTAAGTGTGTAAGTAAGCATGGATTAAGTGTGAAGAGTGCACAGAATGCATGCAGTAGGCAGGCGATGAGTCACAATAATGTGGCTTAAGTATGTTGACCAGACCACACACTGGAAGGTGGGGATGATGACGTTTCGGTCCGTTCTGGACCATTCTCAAATCATTCTCACAATCGACTTGAGAATGGCCCAGGACGGACCGAGGCGTCGTCGTCCCTTCACCTTCTAGTATGTAGTAGGGTACAAGGTTATGTGGTAGCAGTTTGTGGTCTTAATCTAATCATCTGGCGCCTCACTTCCTATGAAATAAAATTAATGGAACATTACAAGTCAGTAGGCAGTGATTATGCATTGGTTGTGAGATAGTTGAATATTCTTAAATTGCTTCCAATGAAAAGATTATAAGCAGGATATGCTGACGAGTGCATCATTGAATTATATAAAAAGATTTACCTGATTTACCTGAGGGCCACTAACCCTAGTGGCCTCGACGAGGACAGGAAGTCGGCAGCTTGTCGAAGGTCCCCCCCATTTGCCTTGTTTTTTTTTCCAAGTGGAAAAGAGCCCTAAAAGATGGAGATGTAGTGAGCATGAATAAGAAAGAATAAAAGAAATGGGTGTCTTTATGCCTTATTGGATTGCAAAATTAAATGGATTATAGTAATTAATGAATTGAGTAAATTTTACATCATTGGAATTGTATGCATGAATTGATTGCTTTCTCAGCTTGTCCATCTAATACTGCACTAACATTGTCATTAGCTATCATGGGTGCCCTGGCTGCTGGGACTGTGTTGGGCTACTCGTCTCCAGCTGGTCCTAAATTCATGTCTAATACAACCACTGGACCGCTGCATCTGACCACGGAACAAAATATGTGGTTCTCATCGTCAATGAACTAGGGAGCTCTGATGGGGGGGTCCTGTTGGTGGCCTATGTCTTGGTGTTTTAAGTAGATGAGGCACAATGCTGGCTTCCACGGTACCCTTTGTCGCTGGATGGCTTCTTATTGGTACGTGCAACTGTTGACTTATATGCTCTGTATCTTCTTTAACTATTGAGCATAAGTTGTATCAAGCATGTATTTTTTGTATTGTACATACTATGGTGTAATTTAATTTCTGGTGTAATCTGGGTTCTGGTGTAATTTATAGTTACAAAATGCCAGTTGTTGTGGTGTACTGTCTTTCTATAATTTATATATTTTATAATATATTTTTATCTCAATGGTTTTAATACACACTACCATCTCCTGAAGTTTAGTCCAAAAATCAGTCACTCTGGTGAAAATCAGTCAATCAGTCACTCACATTATCTTATCTTTGCCATTTATACAATAGTTTGCAAATGTCATGTTTCAAAAGCTTCTCTCTTTTCATATTCTTTGGCAGACTTGTGTGAGGTCCATGATATTTTTTCGTTATATTCAAAAGTCTTCAGCCTTTCCTCATAGCTCTGGCATCTATTTTGTTTTACATGTCTTTGGATTTATCCATCCACTTTGATTGTAAAGTGATGATCTTACAGTATTGATCTTTAATCCCAAATGATATAAGAATTTGGGCACTATTCCTTCACTCCATCCTAGGACTCCTTTACTCCCACTCTAGGAGCCGGTCGACCGAGCGGACAGCACACCAAGACCCTCGTGTTCACGTGCACCCACCTCACGTGCATCCACCTCACGTGCACGTAGCCGCCGTGCTTCTCGCAGACGGTATTCAGCTCCTGGTCGCCGGTATGCATCGCTTCCTCGCCGTCTTTCCTCTGCATCTCGCAGGACGCCTGGTGTACTTGAGTGGAGTGATGGTGACGATTTTATTCCTAATATTCCTCACTTTGACGATAAAGATGTAGGGATTACAAACCTTTTCCCTAATCAAGGTGAGGACATGGCTGAGATGGAATATTTTACAGCATTCTATGATGAACCACTCATGGAATACATTGTACACCAAACGAACCTGCATGCTGCTTACCTGATTGAGAGGGAAATCACAGAATTTTCACGACTGCAGCGTTGGAAAAATACCACAGTGGCGGAAATGTATGTGTTTTTGGCACTCTGTTTGTTGATGAAGCACTGTCACAAACATGCAATAAATGACTATTGGAGCAAGGACAAGACAATACCAACACCTTTATTCGGGAAATATATGTCACGAGACAGGTTTCAGATACTCCTCAGGTGTCTACATTTTGGAAGTGTTCAGGACCGAACACCTGATGATAGACTGTGGCGAGTGAGGCACTACATGAACGATGTTATTGGAAAATTCAGAGATTTTTACGTACCAGCACAGAAGCTGGTGGTTGATGAATCTCTCATACTTTTCAAGGGACGTGTTCCATTCAAACAGTACATTCCCTCAAAACGAAACCGATTTGGCCTGAAATTTTTTGTTCTTTGTGATTGTGAGACAGGATACGTGTTACACATGATTCTGTACTCGGCTAGTGATGTAGACATTCCCGGTAACGACGAACATGGATTCTCGGGGAGTGTAGTGAAGACCATCATGGCTCCGTGGATGAACAAGGGACACATTTTATACACAGATAATTACTATACAAGTCCCTTGCTAGCTCGGTTCTTGCTAGAAAATAGAACCGGATTGGTTGGTACAGTAAAGCCACAACGAAGGGAAATGCCTGTGTTTGACAACGACATTGCAGTTGGTGAGTGTCAGAGAAGGAAAAGTGATAACATTCTGTCAGTTCGGTGGAAAGACAAAAGAGAGGTGAACTTGTTGACAACAATTCATGATGGAACAATGGTGAACAGTGGGAAAGTGAGCCATAAAACAAACGCACCACTATATAAGCCAGACTGTGTTTTAGACTATAATATCAACATGCGGTTGATTGATAAATCAGACATGATGATTGGCACTGCAGAGTGTGTGCGGAAGACGTGTAGGTGGACGAAAAAAGTGTTCTTCCATCTTGTGGACATGAGCATGCTGAACTGTTTCAACATGTACCTTGTGAGAACTGGACGTAAGCCCACTTTCCGTGACTTTGTATTTGATGCTGCAATACAGTTATTAGGAAAGTTTGCAAAAGATGTCCCAGGTATTCAGCGGCCCATCATAAACCCACTGTTGCAGCATGCTGGTACTCCACGCCTCGCTCACACTGAAGGCTTCCTAGCACACAAACTTAAGTATTTGCCACCTGGTGTGAAGCGTGCAATAGCCCAACGTGATTGCTTGGTGTGTAAAACAACGACACGTAGAGACAAGAAACGGAAGCTTGTGCAAACATGGTGTGAAACGTGTGGTATCCCATTATGTGCTGTCGACTGCTTCAATGACTACCACAGTCTAGAAATCTTCTAAGTGTGCTTCAAAGTGTGTATTGCGTGTGCGAGTGTGTAAATATGTAAACATATAAGCAGATAGCGTGTGCGTGTGTGTAAATATATACAAATATAAGCAGAACATACAATATAATAGACTGTAATGACATATTATATTGCCGTAATTGAAAACATTTGTGTGCGCCTGTGTATACTCAAATATGCAACAATTATTGATACAAAATATGTTCAAACAGTATTTGAAACACAATTAGTGAAAAAAAATTAGATAAAATGCGCTTAGACATTGTAAATAAATAGCACAAAAATATATTTGTGGCAACTCTGGCTGTTTGAGGACCGCGCGCAACATCTCCCGGGCGTGTACTGCATGAGCGAACATGCAGATTGTGACGTCATCACCGAGCTTCTCGGCTCTATTGCAACAAAAGTAAGTACAATAGAATTTTTTTTTTTTTCCCCGTGATCAGTGAACAGAACTTAACAGATTAGCAAAAAAAAAAATTTTTTTTTTTTCAAAATGACATGCGCCTGTGTGGATAGCAGGATATTAGACCCCGAGCATGTTAAGGGTTAAAGGTCACATAAGGATGCGTTCGACCGGCAACATATATTAAAACTACGTCGATTACACTCGTCGTGTCAATAATACAATTGTTTTACCATGATGATTCACTGCCACGCCGTTTTCTTTTATAAGCTGTTCGGCTATTAGAGAAAACGTAAATTTCATGGCAAACATTTATAAACTATTCCCAAGTTGATCGGATAATAAATGGATTTTATACAAATATTTTTGCTCGTGAGTCCCGCGAGCAGTCGCGGGAGTATGATTAGTATGGGGGACGCGTGCGGTATGATTAATAATATTGGTGCCGACGACGGTCTGCTGGAAAGCGCCAAAGTGTTAACTTCGGAAACACCAGAGCTCCGGAAATAACAACCAGGGTACAGCCCCATATAGGCTGTTAAATAGAGTGGTAATACTATACCCTTAAACCGCTAAGGGCTTTTTGTCCTGCAACACCGCCAGGTGCAACAAAAAATAAAATTCCCAAAAATTCTTTAGTCTTATAAAACTGTTCATTCGTGTTCCCTCATCACAGGAAAAAGAATAAAAAAATCATAGGTGGAATATTTTGGTTGCAATAAGGCGGGGAAGTCTAGCAAAAAAGAGGTGATGACAGCAAGCGTCAGAGGCAG